TAATCTTTTTCTCCCCTTTGGAATCCATGCTGTAGCTAAAACCCTGATTGTAACTTGTTTGGGTGAATAAATGAACAAATACATCATGTCTTGTTTTTCCCCTGAGACATTTTGGATGAATTTGTTTTAGTTGCAGATGAGGCAATGTCTCAATAATTAGTGTCTTGGTTTTATGATCATGTGGCTGTAGCAGAGAAAGCATTCATATTGATTGTGCAAGGGCAGCATCCATGCGCTCCCCAAACATTTGGAATCTCACTGTACTGAGTTGCACACTCTTCCTCTGGATTTGTGGTGGCCCCTGGGAACATTTCTCACATGTGATTCTGCTCTGTAAAATGTGTGGTTGAAGCTACAAGGGTGCAGTAAGCCTCCTGTCTAAGTGGCATTCCTTGTCACTGAGACCTAATACTTCACACCCACAATTCTTCAAGGAGAAGAGGTTTGTTTTGTCTCACATTCTTTAGAGGATTCAGTCCATGGCTGGCTGGCTCCAAGGCACAAATGTCATGATGGAAGAGTCTTGTGGTGGAAAGTGGCTCACACCCTGGCAACAGGAAGCAGGGAGAAAGGGAAAAGCCAGGAGGGACATGCACCCTTCTAGGTCACACCCCAGTGACCCATCTGATCCACCAGACTGGGCCTCCTAACAGCCCACTCAGCTCTGAGTTCATCAGTCACCTAATCTACTGATGAGTATGGCACCGCCATGGTCCAATCACCAAAAGCCCCACCTCTGAACACAGGAGCTGTTGGGGTCATCGTAGATGCAAACCACACCACCTCCGGAGGCAGAGCTGCCGGCCTGTCTTGCCTATGTCTCTGAAGACTGAAGCCTTCTGCACACCCAGCAGCACCTGGAGGGGCAGGGGTAGCAGCTCCTGCTTTGGGCCCTCGGCCCTGGGCTTCAGGCCATGATCCATGCCATTTGTGTGAGTGCCAAGCCCAGCCTGGCTGGAGCCCAGGATGCACACTTGGCCAAGAGTGTCCTGGTTAGTCACTGAGGTGCCAGGCGTTACCACACAGCCATGCCAGGCTCAAGTGGCCTCCAGCCAAGCCTTGGGGCTCCACAAGTACCAGAGATGCAACCATGACAGTGTGATCCTGGGCATCCCTGCTTCCTGAATGGAGGTGGCTCAAGCACTGATCCTGCCACAAGCAGTAACTCACCAGCAGCTTCTTCTGGGGTATATTTCACTGAATTCTAATCAATGTGCAACAAATTATCCACCCAGAAAGCATTTAGCCAGGAAATTGCATCTTGGGCTATTATGTTCATTAGCTTTCCTGCCACTGAGACTCCAACACCCACAGCTAAAGGAGAAAGCTCTAGCACATGTTGAGGGCATGGCAGTGTTTGTGGGCCAGGAAGCAGAAGAGCAGTGCACCAGAGAGCAAGGGGCAGAGACCACATGCTGTGCCCAAGCCCAGGCCTCTGTGATCCCCAAACTCACCCAAGACCAACACTTTGGCCCCAGTGGGCCTTTCTTAATCCCACAAAGTTGACCTGTCAGGATCAATGGCCACAGCTGCTGACATAGCAATGTTTCCCAGACACCTAAACCTACCCAAACCATGCAGAAACCATGTGAAATTTTGTCCATATTGTCCTCTCAATGAGACCTGAGAGTGACTGTCCACCCACCACAGGTCACTTCAAGGGGATGCGCCCACCGGGCTGCCAACACTACCAGGATGGCCCACTGAGAGGGATTCCTGCAGAAAGGACACCCAGGTGCTTCCATGCACTCACCACGTGATGAGATGGGCACTTCAAGTCACAGAAGCCACAGCCCTGGTGGCAGAGGACAGTTATCAGCCATGCATGAGGCCACAGTAGCCAGCAGTCCCTACAGAGCCAAGGATGCAGGGGCAGCAGGCTGAGCTTGGTGGGGGCACCTTCCCCTGCTGCTCCTCAGAGCAAGAACTGGCTCAGAGCCTCCTGTGCACATCAGGTTTTCACACCCCTAAGTGGATGTGCTGCCCTCAAACCTTGCTACAACATCAGCATATCGCCCACTCAATATGAAAAAAGGAGGGAAAGAAAAGAAAAAAGAAAGAAAAGGGAAAAACGTTTTTAAAAGCTGAGGTCAGATGATGTTTAAGACAGCAGCATCCCAGGGCCCCTTTCAGTGGAGTGTGGTTCCACACATCTGCACACACCACTTTGGTGCAAGCCCAACATGCCAATTCCAGGGGCGGTGACAAGGAGTCGCCAGTTGACGACATATCACAGTTACACAGGATGGGGGCCAGCGTCTCTGATGTGTGACTTCTGTGAGTGGAAGGCAGCTGTGCCCCAAACCTCTCCCTGGGTCCCTCCTTCCTGCCTCTTGTGAGAGTTCTATGAATCCCAGATGCAGAGCAGAGCAAATGTCGGATTCAGAGCCCAGAAGCCCTGCATGTGGGCTGGGATGTGAGAGCATCATTGCTCTGTTTGATTTCATTTTTCTACCCTGCCTGGACACAGGGCGCTCTGCTCCTAACCTACAGGTCCTCTTGGTTGGGACTTTGGGCGCCACCCTGGGGACATCTCCTCCCAGCCATGAAGCCCTAGGCAGCTCACTCGGCCTTCCTAGGCCTTCTGGATTTAAGATGAGGATGCCGTCTGGTGCCCTCAGAGCTGTCATGTGTGCAGGGCAGGAGGGGATGGGCTCTGCCTACAACAGGGACAGAATCATCTTTCACCCACACAACCTCTCCTTGTCCTCATCTGTCACCTGCACAGAGCCACATCCTGAGCTGGCCCAGCAGTTGGCTTCCTGTGACTCAGACCTGCTGGTGACCCCCAGAAGAGGACCCTGACTCAGTAGTGATCCAACCTCAGGCTTCTAGGTGTACTCTATGCCCGGTGTGCCCACCACAGAACCCACTCTGTGTCAGCCCCTCAACCCCTGCGGCTAGGGTCTGCTGTGCCCTGTAGCCCTGCTTACAGAGAAAGGACTTGGACATCTTCAGCTTAAATCCAACCCTAAAGGACAGCACATGAATGATGTCAAGTGGGATTTGGAGGGAGAGAGGACAGGGAGCTAGGCTGCTCAGGGAACTTGGATGGAGAGGGACAGCCTCTGGGTGTGGGTAAGTGCTGCCAAGTGCAGTTCCTGGAGGACTCGAGCCACAGGACAAGACCCTTCAGCCATGAGCGAGTGCCTTGGATGAGCAGCTTGGTAAAGAAACATAACAAATACCCTCTCTTGGTTTGTTGATTGACAATTGATCAGTGTAAAGTAAGGCAGCAACCACTAGAATGAAAAGGACTTGCTTGGAAGAGCACTATTCCCAGTGTCCTGGTCTCCAGGCCACACAGGGAGAATGAGTGACACATGAGAAATGCAGCCAGCACAACCTGGGAGAAACAGGCAGCGCCACATAGACCACTGAGGTCCCTGTGCTCACCTACCTGGCAGAGCCTCCACATTGAGTCCATCCCCAGCCCTTTTATTTTTTATTTTGAGATAGAGCTTCCTTAAGTCACTAAGTTGCCTAGGCTGGGCTCAAACTTCTCCTGCCTCAGCCTGTCTCCTGCCTCAGCCTCCCAGAGTGCTGGGATCACAATCCTGACTGCCATGCTCAGTGATGCATGGTGTTTTGGAGTGCATGTCCCTCTGCCCACCCCTTATCCTTTCTAGGACTGCCCCCACCCCACTGAGCTGAAGAGCAGGTGGGACTCCAGCTCCAAATCACCTTTGGGGCTGGGAGGACCTCTGTCCCTCACCCTGCACCTGCTGCAGGGTGTGAGTCACAGGAGGTGCTGCACCCTCGAACTCACATGTGGTCTTCATCTGTGGCCTCACTGTCCTGAGGACCCACCTCTGCAGTGACCACTTCCTTGCCCCAAAGCACCCAGGTGGGGAAAGAGACTCATCAGTAACTAAGTCCCAGGGAGGTGGTCCTGGGGGGCAGGGTGCCTTGAAGCGGGACCTGCAACATCTCTGTAGTGAGAAGCCCACACCGGGGTTGTCCTGGCTCTCCTGCTCTTTGTGGCATCGCTGACCCACAGACTTTTCCTTAGCCTGCCCCTCTGCCACCTACAAAGCCAGAGGAGAAAAAGACCTCATTGCAGGGAGTTTCATTACCTTTGTGTTTACTCCCATCTTTCAGAGCGGGAGAAAGATGTGCCATGTTAAAATGCCCCTCCCCGCTGTGCAGACCGCTAATGCCCTCTGAGTTAATGAGCTAATGGAATAGTTTAGGCCCTGAAAATAACCACAGCGACCTTTTCTTCCTCCTGGAGGAGTCTTTTACCTTTTATCTTCGTTCCCTGCACCTTGTGTGCATATGCACCAGTGTGTTTGTTTGTGCATTTGTGTGTGACATCAAACTCCTATAACTCAGTGACCTCCACATCTGCCCAGCAGACACAGGAACAAGAAACAAGTCAGAGGCATAGAGGGAACCACATGTGTGTCTTTCCTTAGCTGTCACAGACTCTTGGGTGAGAACATGGCATCCTTGAAGTGGCTGCCAAAGCAGTCACCCCTAGACTCTGGTGAGGTGGGGGCACCTCCTGCATTCAGCTGCCAGCAGTGGATGGGGATGTGGCAGGGATCTTCGTGGTGCTTCAGGAATGGGAAGTGAGCCTGTCAGGCCTGGAGTCCGACTCCGGGGAAACCCTGGCTGACCTCAACTCGTGTGTCCCAGGATTTCTAGTCAGGGTGAGAGAGACCCGGCCAGGTGTCTGTGCACCCCATCCCCCCCAGGGCAGGGCAGTGACACGGGGCCCTTAGCCTTGTGTCTGATGGTCACTGTGTGGCGAAGTCCTTTCTCTTTCATGTTTCTGCTAAGAAGAAGACCAGAGGGCAGCATCTCCCTGTTCATCCAGCCCCTTTGCATCCCCAGCACTTAGGAAGCAACAAGACAAGCAGGATGGAGGTCGCCATACCTGACCACAGAGCAACTCTGCATGTGGCAGGCACTGCCTGGAGGGTATGGGACAGGGGAAGAGCAGCAGGTGCAGAGCTCAGCCTCCAACCCAACATCCTCGGCCTTGCTTCTTACAGGGGCCAGGGCAGGCGCACAGAAACCGACTTCTGGCCAGGAGCATGGAAACTGACTTCCTTCCCAAGGAGCAGCCACAGCGAAGGGAAAGACAGGTTTGGACAGAACCAAGAAGCCAGGAAACCGCCTCCCCACCCCCTGCTGCCCACACCTTCTGATCTCAGAGGACCTCCTGGAAGGGAGCCGTGTGGCAACAGCAAGCAGGCATCTGTGCACATACACACACCCATGTGCACAAGCACATCTTCACACATGCGAAGCTGTGCATACACATGTGGTTTCAGAACTCTATGCAGACTTTTTTATATTTTTAATGTCTAGGATTAAAGTACACAGTGTCTTCACTACATAATCATTACCATGGTTTGACTCTGTTCCTCAAAACCCCTGAGTTGGAGATTTCATCCCCAGGGTCACATGTTGACAATGTTAGAAGCTGGGCACCGAGGAGCTCACTGTGCTGGAGGAGGTTGTAATGGGGGCCCTGAGGTGGCCTATGGCTTCATAAAAAGAGGAAGAGAGTGAAGCTCTCGCCCCATCCCACCATGTGACACCTCTGCTGCATCAGGCCACAGCAAGGCCTCACCCACAGGCACCAGCACCATGCTATCTAACTTCCCAGCCTCTGGAGATGTGAGCCATGACACCTCCATTCTTCACCAATCACCACACCCAGGTACTGTGATATGGAGACAGGAAGTGAGCAAAGACACAGTGTGGCCCATGGACCTCAGTATTCTCCCCTGATGGAAGGGGGCATCTCCTGGATGGTGACCAGCACAGGCTGTGCCCTAGCCCCCGTGCTGCATGGCCCTGCCTGACATCTTGTGCAAAATCAGGGAGGAAAGAGCCTTGCAGGCTCAGTCTCTGTGTGAGGCAAGGAGCATTTTCAAGTTTGAAGATGAGAAAACTGAGGTCTGAGAGTCTAACATGGCCCAATAGCTAATCCAGGTTCAGAGCCCTGCTCTGGGAGACTCGAGGAGGAGGTGGGTCCCACGTCAGGATGAGCCCATGTCACTTTCTGCCGAGTTCCGGCCACAATCTGTGTCCTCCCTACCTATTGTACAGGGACAGGATCTCATGGGAGGCCTACTCTCAGTGTTCTGATAAAGCCTGGGTTTTTCTTGAAGACAGCAACCTGGTAATGGCTGCAAAACAGCCCCAGACCTAGCAGCCTGAAGCAGCCCTTGTGTGATGCTCACGCTGTGAGCTGGAGGCTGGGGAGATGTCTTCAGATGGTCTGACCCTGCTCTGTGACATCTGGGACCTCTGCTGGTGAGACTCAAGGCTGGGGTGACTTGAGAGCCAGAGGCTAGGACACCTGCAGCTGTCATCACCCTCTGCTCAGGACCCTGTGCTGGTGACCAGCCGGGGATTCAGACAAGCTGTGTCAGTGGGAGGGCCCAGGCCACCTGTCCTTGGGCCATCTGGGGCCTTGTCATAGCAAGCAGCTGCTCCCACAAGCCAATGACCCTGGAGCCACAAGCGTCACTCTGACACTCTGCTAGTCAGGGCAGTGGGGATGACACAAGGACATTAGAGGTGGGGACATGGGGACAAGGAATCATAACAGCTCTCTGTGTTCCCAGGACAGAGGAGAATATGGTGCATACCACACATCTGTTCTCAGATCCCCGGGGAAATGATGACAGGACAACTCCTTCTGAAATACTTTACCCAGAAAGAATATCCTCTTTCAGATTAACAAGACTTCTGAGACCTAAAATGCCTTCTAGTTTATGCATGGGTGGCATTATTCCAGTAAAGGGTAAAGGGCGCTTTTACCCCAAAGTTAGCACGTCCATGAACAGCTCCAGCCAGGCACACAGAGAGGACCGGGCTGAGCACCTCTTCAATCAGCATAGCAGACATCAGGCTGGCCAGGCTGAGCCCTGGCAGGCAGTACTCTGAGTGACTCTAAGGGAAGCTAAGGCAGAGTCGTCCTGCAAATGTCTGGGTGGCAGCAGGGGAAATATTTCAGCCAAAGATGCCCTGAAGCCTTTGCTCACCTCCAGCTCAGCCACTGGGTACCCTGAGAGCAAAACGGATGATAGAAAAGAGGAAGTAGGGAGGTGAGATGGGAAAGGGGCCAAGGGATGGAAGGAGGAAGCGGGGAGAGGATGCAGAAAACTGAGACATGTTGTGCGCATGCACCAACTCCCCTCAGGGATGTGGCCACTATGCACTACAAGATGGGCTAATAAAGGACCAAGGATTTAGCTTAGTGGTGCCACCCCCTGCCCACAAGTTCAAGGTCCTGAGTTCGATCCCCTGATACCAAAAAAAAAAAAAAAAAGATGGGCTAATAAAAATTACAAAGAAAGAAAGAGAGAGAGAGAGAAAGAAGGAAAGAAAGAAAGAAAGAAAGAGGAAAGGAAGGTAAAGTGCCAGGAAAGCTTATCAGATCCACTGGTGCCCTCTAAGTGAATCATTTACTGCCCCCTAAGGAAGCGCATTGTGCCACAGAGGCTGGAGCTGGTGGGTTGGCACCTGGCTGCATTGACTCCGGCAGGTTCTCTTGGAAAGTGTCCATTACAAACGCGCCATCCCAGCTGTGCTGAGGTGCTGTGTGCCTAAGCTTGCTCTCTGCTTGCTCAGGTGTTTTCCAACCCTTTTGTCACTGGTTTTAGCTTTTGGCTGATCTGCTGGTATCTCCTTCCTTCCTCTTCATTAGCAGTAGAAGCAGTTGTCCTCACCATGCTCTTGACGGGGAAACTCTACCCTGGAAAAGGGAGAAAGGTCTTTGAAGTCATCTTTTTCTGGAGTGCACCCCAAGGCCACTGTGTACCCCAAAGAATGAGACTTCACCCAATGGTCCAAGGACCTCCCCTCCTCTGCTCTACCATCAGAGAGCAAACCTCGATTAGGCTGGGGGCTTAAGTTCTTCTCTTTGTAGAAAAGTACACAGGGAGCCCCAAAGCCAAGAGGGAAGGCAAAAATAATGACATTAGAGAAATTAGAAGCTTCTGGGACCTAACTACAATAAATATCAAATATGTTCCAACTCCTCACCACTTTAACATGAATTCTCACAGCAAAGGCTTATTTACCTTACCCTACTCCCCACACCAGACAGCTGTCTGTCTTCAACAAAATCTTGTAACATGTTGAAAAGTCAGAGATGGCTGAAGGGACCAGGTGATCAGCAAAACCAAACTCAACCTTGGCTCAGACTTTGGAATCCTCCCACTGATGGGGAATGGAAGACAACTGTGATCGCTACGCTAAAGGCTCTCGTGGAAAGCAAACATTGTGTAAGAACATGGGTAATGTCAGCAGAGAGATGAAAACTGTAAAAAGAAATGTTAGAAATAAAAACCAACTGATGGGGTTTGTTGCTGCAGACCTGAGTCCTCACAGAAATGCAGAATCATGTTGTCGTGGGCCTCACAGGACGTCTTAGTAGAGTCGAGGAAAGAATCCATGACCTTGGAGATGGGTCAAAGGAGGCGGAATGAAACACAGAGAGAAAAGACGAGGAAAAGCAACAGAACACAAAGCCCAAGAGCAGTGGGACAGTAGGAGAGGAGCCACATATGTGACCAGCACCACTGGAGAACTGTTTAGAGAAGTCACTGTGAGGTCCTGGGTGCTGAACCGTGGTTCTGAGAAGGGGAGAAAGCAACAAGAAGAATGAGAACAAAACAAAGCAAACAGCAACCAGGAAAACCTAGACGCACCATATCTAAACTGTAGGAAACTGTAAGCAGAGAGAAAATCTTGAAGACAGATGTCTCCAAAAGAGGTGGGTAGGGAGCCACTTGACCTACAGGAGACAAGAACTGAGGTGACAGGAGACATCAGAAATCTCAGGATGCTGCAGGGCAGGGAGGCAACACATAGACAACAAACCTGGCAGCCTAGAGCTGCTCATGAGGGAAGACAGCCTTCAAAAGCTGAGGAACCACTGTCTCATACAAACAGTTGAGGGAACCCACTGCCAGTAGACCTGAGTCCAGAAGAAATACTACAGAAATTCTTCAGGCAGAAGGAAAATAATACAAGGCCTGATCATAAACTATGATGAATGCTTACATTTAAAATTTTTTAAATTATTACAACAAAAGACACATTTCCTTGAATGTCCCCCAAAATCTTCCCCCTTACTTCCAGCACACTTACCCCATCATTTTTGCAAGTTTCTGAAGCAGTTCTGGAAGTCCTCTTTCGTGGGTATTTTTTCTTAATTGCCTCAACATCCTGAATTGATTCAAAACATTTATTGCAATTTCTGTCAAATAAAAACATGATCCTGTGTCCTTATCCACCTTATTCACCAGATCTGCCACAAAGGGACTTGTAGCTCCTCCCCAAAGTTAAGATGACCATGGAGGTAGCCACAACAGAGCAAGTGAAGACACTCAGAAACAAGACTCCAGAGCTGCTTCAGAAAGTGGCAGGAACCATGCAGAAAGTGTGTTTGAAGTGAGGAGAGTAATGTAGTGTGTCTTTTACTATAATCTTTTTAATTTAAACATTCATCATATTTTTATCACACCTGGATCTTTATGTAGATCCAAGGTAGAAACTTGGATCCAAGGTAGAAACTTGAAACTACATAAAGAAAGAAAGGAAGAAGCACAGTGAAATATAGTCTTACTCTTAATTTATCTGGACAATAACTGGGTACGCAGTACTAGCCAGAGTGCATGTGGGAAAATGAAAAGAGACAACAGGTATTAGAGAAGGGTAGACAGCATTCTGCTGCAGGGAAGCCGCTGGACCTGTGAGGCAGGGTGCCATCCTTACACTTGGTGAGTTTAAGTGCACACTATGAGCCCTGGGCAGCCACTAAATGGTATGGTTTTTAAAAAGAAATATAAGTCAGTCAATGGAGGAAATAAATGGAATCATATAAAATGCTCAGTGAAACAGTCAGAGACAGCTGAAAACAAGGGAAAAGAAAACAGAGAACAAAGACAATAAGCATGTAAAGGGGACTATCACTCTTGCATGAATCATCCCTTAAATCCAAGCGTTCTAGGCATAGTAGAGCTTGTCAACCCGGGGCAGGGGTAGGGGGGCAGCTGTAAGCTGTTTGCAGGAACATCCATCTTAGCTATAAAGACTCGGGCAGATTGAAAGTCAAAGGATG